ATTTATGCCTTAAAGTGATTAATATCAGCGATAGAAAGTAGGTAATTACACAAGATTACAGGGAGAGTTTCATGCGTAAGCGCAATTACAAGACCATATATATATATATATATATATATATATATATATATATATATATTGTCATTCACAGGAAACTGTTTCGTTTTATCACAGCTTATCAGTGTGGTTAGACGTCCGGTTGTCTCTAGCAAGGATCGAAACCCGACTGAATTGGCGTCAGTCGGGGATTCTACCACAAAGCCGTTAGCGCACGGCAGGGATGAAGGTGAATTTAAGCATATTTATTTTTAGATAAACACACAGTGACTGAGAGAACTCGATTCGATTTACCGAAGAGTCTTGCATTATTAGCCGAGAGAGAGCTCAACCGAAATAAATTTTTCAGGCGCATATACATTGTCATCCACAGACAGACTGTTTCGATGTATCACAGCTCATCAGTGTGGCTCGACATCCGGTTGCCTCTAGCTAGGATCGAAACCCGATTGAATTGATATATATATATATATATATATATATATATATATATATGGGAAATCTGGCAGAAAATATGAGTCCTCTCTTCCTAAAAATAAATTCTTTGTTTAGGTTAGGATAAAACAGAGCAGATATGAATATTTCGACAATCGACAGAGTGTGTGTTCAAAAGGCACTACATGGACATTGTTTGGCCGTAAGTCTTACGTGGCCGAGCAGTTAGTCACGTCAATGACGTTTCTCCATAGACGTTGTAGATTCGAATCCTGCCGGGGGTCTCATATTTTTATGACAAGATTTCTCTAATATTTAGGCCTTTAGATTTAGTGGATAAAAAAAATAAAAATACTGTTTAATTTTAAAAAAGAGCTTTTAATCAAATGTGTGTATACATAAAAAATAAATTAACCAATCGAATGTGACCTACGCTAAATTCAAACTCACCGAAAAACAAACAAATTATATAAGTCTTGACACGATATAAATCCTAAACAATTTCATTCTGTACAAATACAAATGGTTACATTATTTCGTAAGATGTATATAAGTGTGGCGTTCAATAAGAAGAAAGAGGTAGGGATGTCATTTAACATAATGCTAACTAGTTATATAGTCGGTCAGCTACATACATAAAGTTTTATAGTTGATAAATAAAAGGTCCCTTTAAGAAACTGGTAAATAACCGTTTGGAAAAAAAAATACAGATCCTAAAATTAAAACAACTTCAGCAAATTAATATGCAACCATTAAGAAAAGAGCATTCATATAAGATGTTAATAATACTAACTAATCAATGCAAGATGTTAATACTACTAACTAAACACCTGTACATCCATATAAGATGTTAATAATATCAACCAAAACATCAATGCAGAAGCGCTATATAACCTGACGTGCTATACGATTCAACTACAGAGGAACCGCCTGGTTAGCCCGGTTAAAAACAATAATTTGACCTTTACTAAACAGACGCTCGGTTATAATTGTCAGATTTAGTCCATTTCATAACACACACACACACACACACACACACACACACACACACACACACACACACACACACACACACATGTATAAAGAAATAATTGTCTTATATTTTATATAATAAAGAAACAATTTAATTTAAATAGCGATGTTAAGGTGATTAATGGTGAAATCACTTCGCTAAGGAGACAGTGAGACTTATTATCAATTCATTTGATCGATTTGAACAAGAACTTTAGCGTCGTGTCATCGCATGCTCCAAAATATATTCAACTGCCAATAAATAGCATAATTTAAAAAAAAAAACAAACAAACGTCTTTCGGTCTAAACTTATTTGGTCTTACTGTTTACCTGTGTATGGGAAAATTGCGCCCTGAAGATGACAATTTGAAATTGTCGAAAGTACCTGGTATATGTCTTCCATCTGACAACAACTCGAATATAAGAATCTTATTATTCAAGGAATTAATAGTAAGTTAATGTCATGTTAATGAAATGATTTCACCATTCTTTTTATAAATTGTTTTTTATGATATAAAATATAAACTGCACACTCTAATATATATATATATATATATATATATATATATATATATATATATATATATATATATATGCAGACTTTTAGCCATTGTCAGGGATGATTTCATTTGTACTTCTAACTGAATGCATGAATTTTGTCTGATCCTTTAGACATTTCCAAACGGGTTGGATGTCGTGCATGATTTCCATATGGATATTTAAGGTCTGATGAAGAACTGTCTTCTGTACGACCTAACGGATTCATTCTGTTGGAACTATTTTTAATCATTGATCTGAAACAACGTTTGTATATCGGTTAAATTGAGTGCATATATCTATTATTGTGTCAATCAGTATCTCCCCACTCTCTCTCTCTGAATTAAGATTTTGTAAACTACTTTAATTGATTAATACTTGAATAGTTTTATATCCATCTGGCTTTATTTTGGCGATAATCAAATCCATTTAGATATAAATACCGATTGATAAGTAAAATCGCTTGGTTTGGTCGGAAATAATGGCGGGCTTACGTAGGTGTCGTTATAAATGAACGGTTAATTGGTTACGCCAAATCCGACACTAGGCAACATTTTCGGGATAAGTCCACAAATGCTTGTCATCAAATTCATCGTTCAAATATTGACAGCTCTCCTCATAACCTTGTCACCTCCTCTCTCTCTCTCTCTCTCTCTGCATAATTAAGCCTTTCTCGCTGTTCTCTCTTCACACTTACTCCGTCTTTCTCTCTTGGCTTCTCTGTTAAAGTTCAGGAAAAGGTCCATGACGTGCATAGGTCGAAGGGCCAGGAATAAATTAAAAAAGATAAGAATTATAGCTTACTTGAATTAAAGAGAAGCCATGACTTCATGTCCCATAAATATGAAAAGTCACAAGATAAAGGATTGGGTCGAAGTATATGTGAATATTAGACACTTCAGTAACTAAATACACACATTTGTTTGTGTCCGTGTGTGTGAATTCACGCATGCGCCTCTCTCTTTGTGATTCTAATACAATGCAATATCACGTGACAGATATTATGCGGACACCATTTTACTTCTAGTTTTCTTTTTATGCGCCTCGTTCTTTTAGGATGAAGGCGATTATGGCTCTCCACTTTCGTCTATCTCTTGCAGCTCTCAACAAGTTTCGTCTATCTGCCACCGCCTTCAGACCAGATTCTGTCATCCACTTGCTCAAGCCCGCTGGGTATGTCATGCGTTGTTTTTTCTTTCCCTCTGTTCGCCCTGTGAGTATCAGATTCTTCAGGCCCCCCTTCCTCATTACATTTTCTAGAAACTTCAGCTGCCTCTTCCTGATGTTAATTATAAGCCTCCTCCTTGTTTGCATCTTTCTAAGGCCTGATTCTTGCTCACACGCTCGGTTCATGATATTCTCAGCATCCTTCTGTAGAACCACATTCCAGTAGCCTCGAGTTTCTTCTTCATCTTTGAGGAGATTGTCCAACATTCGCTGCCGTAAAGGAGGACAGATGCCACGTAACATCTCAGTACTCTTTTCTTTGTTACCAAAGAAATCCTCATCTCTTGCAATACTCTGCTCAACTTTTGGAATGCATCCTTGGCCATTCCAACACGTCTACGGATCTTGGTGTCGCGCTGTCAAAACGCTTCCAGATATTTAAACTTCCGCACCTGCTTAATTTTAGTGTCTCCGACCTGCAGATCGCGTTTCATAGTACGTAAGTAAAATATTGTACTATGTACAATAGACTTCACGGGAATAAACATTTGAATTGATAAGATGCATAGTCATCAGTAAGCGGATGAGTCCCAAATGAAGACGAGAATAAAGCATTTATTTAAATATCTGGGAAGAGAGGGTGGAAAGTGCGACATTGAGATTCGAAGACTTATTGGGATGGCCAAAGATGCATTTCAAAAGCTAAGCAGAATATTAAGAGATTGAAAAGAAATTCGTTGCAAATAAAGAAAAGAGAATTGAACTGTTAAGTGTCCTCCTCTATGGCAGCGAATGCTGGACAATCTCCTCACAGATGAAGAGACTTGAAGCAACTGAAATTGATCAACGTCCATATTCTCGTGATTTGTCCCCACTTGACTATGACCTGTTGTCAGCTGATGTCTTAAGAATACATCTGAAGGATGTTACAGAAAACGATTTGACAATTTTTATCTTGACAATGAAGGTCAGCTGAGTCGAGCAGACCTTATTTTAATGATTTCACCCCCAAACAAGGTGGGAATGACATTTTTCACGCACGTTGTTACAGTGAGTGAAAGTGAGAGAAAAGATATGGGGGAGATTAAGGAAAGGATTAAAGATGGGGTTCAAGTCAACAGAAGATGGCGGCTGAAGATTCATTTAAAGTTTTGAAGATTGTATTTATCAGGGAGGCAAATAAGGGGAAGGGAGTTCTGCAGTCGGGAAGTGCGAGAAAAGAAACTGTTGGAGTAGAAGCAGCAATTATATTTAACTATTTAAACAGCAAAATGGTGGGACCTAGATGCCAATCTCGTAGCCAGCTCCCAAGAATCATGCAAACCGACCCTAAAAAAGGTCAGCTGAGTGGAGCAGACTAAGGAATAAGACAACAGACCCTGGGTTCTTGATGAATTACATTTTTAGACGAAAGCTGATAGTACAAAGAAGACTTTTCTCTATAAGACAGTGGTCCCTAACACCCTCAAGAAGAGGGCCGCTGGCCTGCGTTTGGAAAGGAAGGCACACGCCTGTTAAACCAGTCCCCACCTCAACTTGCCTTGCTTTTCCTCGCTCGCATATAGAAGGTCATTACGAGAAGGTTGCTACCGAATTAAATTTACCGATGACTACAATTTCGTCTCATGATTAGTTTTTCCTTTAGGTAACGATCCAACCAAAGGATTATTACCCCTATATTAAGCCACATGCGATCGACTAGACGAAGTTGCGAACGAACCTGGTGTCTGGTCTGAGCTGCAATGCTACGCATCTCTCTCTCTCTCTCTCTCTCTCATATATATAGAGAGACGGATAGATAGATAGATAGATAGATAGATAGATAGATAGATATGAAGAGACTAGGACGGATAGATAGACAGATCGACATATAGATAGATATGAAGAGACTAGGACAGATAGATAGATAGATATATAGAGTGAGAGAATAAACCAGTTATATCTTTTCTTATTTATTTCTTCTCTAAGTGAACCTTCGAGTCTAAATTGATGCCAGGAATAGAATCTCTTTGCAATCAAATTGTTTTATCCCGTTTTAGAAGACCGTTAATAAAAATGAAGATCATCCCACCTTCCATTAGTTCCAGAGACGTCGGCCTCAGAAAAATGTCTTCTAGTTTTCAAAACTTTACTGATTCACTTTATGTTAACGGCACGATACAATATAAGAGCCCTAGAACAGTGTTCCACTTACGCACATCGACTCATGCTGAGGTGATATGACGAAGACGACAGCAAACTTGGTGTTAAAGGTTTTGACTGTGTTGTCTCAAAGGTCTGACCTTTTAAAACGGGAGGAGACAAATAAACATGAGCACTGGCTCGAAATGGCGCCTATTGGGGAGTGAAAGAACAGGGTGTGACGGTCGTAGGAAAAGATGAGGGAAAACTGAGAACAATGTAAAATTTGGGGAGGTTTTTAACATTTTCTCTCATTTTTATAATTTGTCTTTTTTCTTTTTTTTTTCATTCAATCATTTCTTTTTTCGAATTTCTTTTTCTCATTTTTCTCATGAATTCTGTCTTTTTCTTTGCATTGTTTGCTTTTTTATTAACCTTCACTTCGCCATTTTCTTTCGATGTTTGCTGATTTTTCTTCTTGATTTTTCTTCAATTTTTTGTTTTTGATTTTTATTTAAGATGTTTAATTTTTCCCCCTTATTTCTTTTTTCTTCTTAAATTTCTTCGTTTTTTATACAAAATATTTCTGAATTTTTCATTCACATCTGAATTTCTAACACTTTCTTTTTTCTTTTCCTCCGGACTTCTTTCTTTCTTTCTTTCTTTCTTTCTTTCTTTCTTTCTTTCTTTCTTTCTTTCACCGAACTTTCTTGCTTGCTCACTTTCTTTCATGTAAAATATTGTTTTGTCTTCAACTCTTTTTTTGTAAATTATGTAATTCATTTAATTTGCTGAAAACAGCGGCAGCAACAACAACAAAAACAATAACACAACAATAATAATAATGATGATATCTGAGCACTGCAAACTGTCTCGAAGAGCCTAAAATCGACGAAGAATGAGCTGGAAATTAGGTGAAGGATCGGTAACGTTTAAATAAGAACACTACTAATAATACTCGGGAGGGTTCTGGTCTATTAAAATGACTTTCTCTTATGTAATTTATAACTAACCTGCTGTTTACAACGAGCAATTAATAATTACCGGATATATCTTTACAAATCAGAAAGAGCATCGAAACCATTTAGATGGCAGCATTGCTAAAATAAATTGGAATACTGAAGTGAATGTAGAATTATCTTAAGAAATTTGCTGACGCTTGATCTCCAGAGAAAAGTAAGAGTTTTATGCTTTCCAAACGGTGGACAGAAAGAAAGCTACAGTGAAACATATTTTTATTGCTACATCTGATACTGTTTCGAACAGGGTGGAATATGTTAAAGATCGAGGAAAAATCGAAGCCATTAAAATGGCGGAATTAATAACGTCTACTAGAATACTGAGAAGAGTATTGGAGTTATTTGAAGACAAACTGTCAACGTATTCCAATAAAATATCTCAAGCTGAATGAGAACTAAATAATAATAATAATAATAATAATAATAATAATAATAATAAAGAGACTTTATTCAGTAATAAAGGAAGCCAACAAATTTAAAATGGAATTTCAAGTTGATGAAGAAGTGCAAATAAACCATAATACACCTAGTGTAGAGGTAAAGAACCTTAAAAAGAGAAAATGCGATGTAGAAAATGCAGAATCGATGGCAATATAAGCATCTTTATGGTCAATACATCATTGCCCGTATCAAATAAGCTGATGTAGACGAATGCCGTACCCATCAGATGTTAAAAGCTGAAACTGATGGTTTTATTCTTGCAAAGGATCTATGTTTGCTAACTAGAAATTACAAAGCATACATACTGAAAATTTGTATTAGCCCAAAACGTAGATTCTGTGATAAATATCCAGAAACAATTGACCATCTTATATCATGTTGCACAGTATTGGCACCCATTGAATATAAAACCCGGCATGGCAGATTGGATCAATACCTGCATTGGAGAATATGCAAACTTTACGGAAAGGAAACTGCAAGGAATTGGCATGAACACAACCCAGACACGGTTAGAGAGAAAGGACCTGTAACAATTTTGTGGCACTTTAAAATTGCACGCAGACAGAACAATGAAAGCTAATCGCCCAAACATCATAATCAAAGATCATAAAAACAGAATGCGCTTTCTTATTGATATTGGTCTTCCCTGCAGACTGTAATGTATCTTTCAAGGTCTTCAAAAAAAAAAAAAAAACTATCAAAATTCAAGGAGCTCGAAATAGAAATCTCAAAAATGTGGCATGTGAGGACATCAGCAATATCAATTATAGTTGGAGTCCTTCGTTTGATTTGAAAAGGTTCCCATATTGAAGGGATCCCTAGTAGGTCAGGCTACAAAATACAAACATTTGTACTTGGGAAGCTAATACTTTACGAAGAGCTTTATCTATGTAAAATATATATGATCTTAGGTTTTTTTTGTTATCTTAAACGACAAGCAATTCAGGAAGTGTATATTTATTGACATAGCAGTACCATCTGAGAGAAATACATCCATGAAAATTATCGAGAAATTGTCCAAATACAAGGACCTAGAGATCGAGATTAACAGGATGTGGAGAATGAAGACTGAGACTGTACCAATAGTAATCAGAGCACTGGGCCTCGTGAGAAAAGGAATAGACAATTTTACTAACAGTGTCCCAAGTAACATCAACATACAAGTTGCCCTACTAGGAACATCCCATATACTAAGAAAAATGCTATCAACAAAATGACAATTCTCCTAAAGGGCCTAAGGACCATAGTTTGGACCCGGCTCTAAGGGATAAAATGCAGGAAAAATAAAATACACAAATAATAATAACTAGATTTAAACCATGAAAATTTTACGATTTTCCTATTTTCTGATTAATCTTAATTCTTCAGTTAATGATTGAGAAAACTTATGGGGCGTTCGACGACAATAAAATATCCGTAGAAATTCCCTTTTCGCATCGTTAAATATCTGAGCTTAACAACTTAAAAAAAAAAAACATTGCAGAGACAGTGATAAATATGAATGTTGGCCGTTATTTTAAGAAGTAAGGGGATACAAATAAAAAGATTTGAAATTGACTTTCCATTTTATTGAAATGAACTTTAAACATTTATATCTTCATTTCTTTCTTTCATTTTCTCACTGACACTAAGTAGCGTCTTCGATGTATCTTTTGTCTTTTCACGCAATCAAAACGGATTAGTCCAGTATTTATGAGGTACTGACAAGAGACATTAAATGCTTCTTCCTTTCCTTTTTTTACTGAAACCAAGTAGCGTCTCTGATAAGTTTATTGTCACTCAATGTCTTGTTTAATCAACCAGTTCCTTTACTCCTACGTTTGCAGTTTTTCTTGTTCAAGCTTTTCATGTGAGGCACTCATATACCTTTGTCTATTAAGTGATCGTCTTGCTTCAACTTGATCCTAAGAATAGGTTGTGTCTTCGCCGTATTTGTCGTTCTGTTCAGTCAGTTATGTGCCATGCCTGATACATGACTGACGAAGCACAATTATTTCTTGCAGTAGGTTGCCATTTCTTTCTGCGGTACCCCAGTTGCTATTCAAGGCTATAGAACCCGGTCTTTCCTGATATGTAGAAGAAAAGGATTCATATCTTTCCCAAGGATATTAGCACGCAAGTGAATGTAATGGATTCGACTGGAATTCGAACACAGATCTCCGATTCCTCAATCCCAGCCGCTATCCATTACTCTACCGTACATCTGTTACAAATCTTTTTCTTTCCAGTAATTTTCCATTTTACTGTTCTATTAAATAAACACATAAAATTTTTAACATGAAAAGATATTGAGCAAAAAGTAATTTATATAATACGAGGAGTAATCAACAAATTATAGATACCACTGAACGTCTAAAAAATATAAAAGAAACGGGATAATTAAACGGTTCATTGGCTTCTATATTAGTTGTGAATTTTTTTATCTCCGCTTTCTTGAATTTCAATACATTGTTTCAAGATTTTTGTTTCATTGCATCTTCAGTATTAAAACTTTCTAATAATTGCCGGCATTTTTGACGGCTCAGGTACACTAGTTTATTATAATAAAATAATATCAATAATAATTATTCGATGGGTATTATATGAGGCGGCGAAGAACTGGCGGTTACGAACTGTTCCTAAACAACACTGGGTACATTGGCAGTTGGATGAGTAATGATTCTTCATTCAACGACACAAGCCACTCCGTCCCACCCTATGAAATCTCGTCTCGCATCCCCTGGAAAAGAATAACTGAAAAGGAAAATAGTAATTAACATAATATTAATTGAATAATATTTGTGTAGAGGAAAATGAATGCTATCTATCTATCTATCTATCTATCTATCTATCTATCTATCTCGGTCTGTTCATATCTATCTATCTATCTATCTATCTATCTATCTATCACAGTTTGTTCATATCGATCTATCTCAGTAGTCGACTGTTTAAACTTCGTAATAACGGACTGTACCGTAGATCTAAGGATAGCTAACTGGTTTAAAATAGGGCTGTATATGAACAAAATTTGCATTTACAGTCGTCAAACAAATGTTGTGTCTTTTTCACTCTTTCTCTCTCTATATATATATCTGTCTGTCAGTACATACACAAGTATATATGTAGAGCCAAACAGAGATTGATAGAAAACACAGATTTCGATAGAGATAGATAGATAGATAGATAGATAGATAGATAGATAGATAGGAATAGGCTAAGATAGATATAGTCTGACTTAAGCTCTTGTTCGCCGATTGAGCACTATGGAGAAAAGGTAATTTTTAACGGCAGCTGCAGCTTCAATGCATCGCCCTTCGTAAGAATTGAGCTATATGGCAGCGGGTATGGTGTTTATACAGCACGTATATAATGCGTTAGGGGTAAGAGTATCTGACTGATGTAAGATCGGTCGAGTTTCGATCCCGGCTTGTAGCAATCGTATGTCTTTACACTGATGAGCTGTGATACAGCGAAACAGGCTGTATATATACAGTTAACGACGACTGTATATATACAGTCAACGACGAATTTATTCGTGACTCATCAATTTTAAATATTTTTATCCATTTCTCAGAATCTAATACCAGTATGATGCTAGGTTTGTGTATGTTAATAAGCACAAAAAAGAAAAAAAAAAGAATATAAAAC